GATACTACAGACAAACCCAGGGGTCCAGGGAGGAGACAGCTCACCAGCGTAGGTGCTATGTAGGTGGATTTCTCACAGTGCCCACTAGGTAGCTCCCTTGTTCCTACACAGACCTTTCTTGGCTTAATGAGACATTGGGATTTCCTTTGTAAGGAAATTTTCCTCATACTTTGCTCTCCACCTAAGTATGTAGAGGTTGCATCCTAGAGAAGTTCAGAGTTTTATTAGGAATTTAGAGTGAGGAAAATGACCAAAGGGGCTAGCTATTAAATCATATATGGTATCAACAGGACCATCAGAGTAGTTTGTTGTCTCTTTTCTCATTTTCTCTTTTCCTGATTTAGTCTGTTAGATTCACTACTGGACCAGCCTCAAGGGAGGAGAAGCAAGTTTCCTTATTTATCCCTGCTTCCCTGCCCTTGTCCCATGTGCATTCATATGCAGTGTGTAAGGACACTTAGAGAACAACTCCCTTGGATGTTTCATCGTGTTCCGCCCAGAGCAGAGTGACTCTTTGTTTAAGGGCCTTTCCTCTGGGTTCTTTCCTCCAGGCTCACATTTAGCATCCACTGCTCTTTCCACTGTATTTTATTTGGGGGTGGGGTGAGGTGTCAATCACTCCCAGCATCTATCTCAGTAACTCATAGAGAGGTTGCTCTAAGATTGCACCTTAGACTGCTGCCATTCATCTCTGCTCTTTATTCTTAAAGCCTTTTCTGAGCCAGGTTTGACTTCTTGGATCAGATGGAAGCTTACACCTTGTACTGCAGAATTTTGGAGGAGGATGGGTCTTGGCTCCTTTGTTTATCTGTGGGGAGGATCTGGTCATGTAGGCGCTGTTTGGTGCCAGGGACCTTTATGTTTCAGTGGCTCTTCTCTCTGCTCTTTAGTTTTCTATCCCTGATAGATGAATCACTGCCTCATGGTATTTGTTTATTGTGAGCTGTCTTTGGAAGTTTTATTTATCCTTTTGAATTTATGTAGTTCATAATTATGAGTAAACAGTGGCAACTTCCTATCCCCGCTTTTTTTTAGCCAATTAGTTACCCTACATGTAGGCAGCCAAAGTTACCAAAATTGTGTGGTGTTTTTGACGTGCTTTTTCTTAAACACACAAATTGAAATTCCTCCTGCCCCACCCCTTTTTACATACTATGTACGTGTTCTGTTTCCTGCTTTTTCCCATCTTGGAGATTATTACATGTTGGTTCACAAAAGAGCTTCCTTGGGTTTTTTTTTCCCCCCTAAAAAGCTGTGTGTATTCCATTTTATGGCCATGTAACATGATTTACTTAACAAGATCATCATTTATGTTTCTAATCCTTTGCTAGAAGAGAATTACTGAATGAAAGGATAATTGTATCTGTGATTTTTGCTAGATGGTGCCAAATTGCTCTGTGCAGATTGTACCAATTTACCCTTCTACCAGCACTTCAGGCTCATCAGTGCTATCTCACTGTAGAGTGTGTATGTGTGTGTGTGTGTGTGTGTGTGTGTGTATAAATATTTTTGATAAAGGTGTCATGTAGTTGTTAATTCTCATTCCTGAATAGTGTTCCATTGAATTTTGTGTGTGAAAAAAATGTTTATATATCCACTCTACTTTTAAAGAGTGCTATTATGTATATTTTATACATATCTTGCTGACCATATGTATGACTAACAATTGTGTGTCTAGAGTTGCTAGTTGTTAGATGTGAATATGTTAAGGTTTATAAATGTACTCACAGACATTTTCCAGAGTGGTTTTGGAACCAGTTGACCCTCACCATCAATGTGTAAATGTCTTTGCATTCTAACCAAGTTTTATTACACTTAATTCTGATCAGTGTGTAGTGATAGCTTGTAGTTTTAATTTGCATTCTGTTTTTAAAATTTTTACTTATTTTTAAAATACGGAATGCTTCACGAATTTGTGTGTCATCCTTGTGCAGGGGTCACGCTAATCTTCTCTGTATTGTCCCAGTTTCAGTATATGTGCTGCTGAAGCAGGCACTTGCATTCCCTTTGGACTAATGATTTTGAGCACCTTTTTAAAAAAAGTGTTTTTGGCCATTTAGGATAGTTTCTTTTGTGAAGTACCTGTTTAAGTCTTGCCTATTTTTCTATTTGGTTGTCTTTTTCATAATGATTTGAGGAGTCGTTTATATTTTTTGATGTGGTCTTTTGACAGATATATGGCCTTGCAAATATGTCCTCTTGTTCTATAAGGAAATGTTACAAGGCTGTGTGATTGAAAATAACGGGGTGGGGGGGTGTGCTTAGAGTAATTATGGAGAGTCTCTTTAGAAGATGACTTGCCATCTGACATATATGTGTGAAGGATGGAGAAGAGCCAACCCTTTGAAGTGCTTGATGATGACTAGTCCAGGCAAGGAATAGCATGAGCAAAGGTCCTGAGTGAGGACAAATCTTGGCATGTTTGAGTATAGAAGGAAAGCCAGGGTGGGGGGGGAGACAGTGGTGGCAAGAAGAAATAATCAGAATCTCTTTTCATTACTAGGTGGCAGAGGAAGACTTTAGGTTTGTTATTTGTGCATAGTTGTTTATGGCAGTTGTATTGTGGTTACCCTACAATGCTTGATTCTGTTTTTGCCTTGGTGGAAACTTAGTGTTTGTTTGTGTCCTTTGTCCTGCAGGTGTGGTGGACACAGGCCTGTTCATCAACATGGCTGAGAGAGTCTACTTCGGGATGCAGGATGGCTCAGTGAACATGAGGGAGAAGCCTTTCTGTTGACCCTGCAAGGAGCAGAGTGTGTTCACCTTGAGTCTTCAGCCCACAGCCAGGGTGGACAGACCTCTCCAGGAGCCTTTGCCTTAATGTATCTGTGCCAGGGTGGACAGCTGGCAGGGTGGGGGGTGGGGGGGTGCTTAAATCCGGTCTTCTGAAGTATTATTATTAAATGTCTTTTTAAAAAAGAGAAATATAAACATATATTTTTACTATTACAATATTGTTTTTTTATAAAGTAGAACTTGATTTCATGTTTTATATGAAACATTTACCAAAAAAAGAGGGCGAATAGGGGGGAATAGTCTTTAAAACCTTTGACTTGAGTCTGCTGGTTAAGCTTCTGAATATTGGATTTGCTGAGAGATAAAAATCAAAACATTTCTTTAAGCTGGTAAAATGAAGGGCCCAGCCAGCAGTGATCTCCTGATGCCTTACTGGAAACTTTGTTTACTTGTCTGCCACTCTCTGTTTTGTTTTGAGTTAATTTTCATTGTAAGCACGCACAATACCTAGTTACGTCTTATGATCAGGTTTACAAAAGTCTGCTGGGTAGAACAGTGTGGTGTGGAGTGACTTAGAATGTTAGCTTTTAGGGAGAAAATGTGGTTGTCCTTTTGCTAAGAGCTAAGGGTTTCTCCAGATGCCTGCTGTTGTAAGCAGTTGGCCAGAAATGCTTGCCAATACTGCCAAAGCACTGATGTGAAATATTTGTTTCTTTAATGATTTCGTTGTTAATATTTTTTGTGTTCCTTTACTGTTACTTGCCTGGTTTGGCATCAGAAGTCATCACCTCTTTATATTGTTTGCAGATTGAAATAAAACAGTGTGGTGCCATTTTGACTCTGTCTTTACTGCAGAATTTGAAGTACCATGGGAATCTGTTTTGCTCACTCACTTTACATGAGATCTTTGCTAAGGGGTAGAATTCACTCAAGACATATTGAACCAAAGTATAGGTAAATACACGCTTTATTTCTGGGAGAGCTATCTTCCAGATAGATCAGTTATCTAAGGAAAAGTATGCTAGAGATCTTAGTCAAGCAAGGTAATTAAATTTTTTTTTCCACTTCAAATTTTCTTTGTTAATGGAGGCTAATACCCAAGTTTCATATTAGTCAAACCATTTTTGATCATGGGAACCGATATGCAGTCAAACATCAGTTTACATGATTTTCCTCTTTATCACCCCCACCCTGTGATCTTTAGACAGTTTGCCTAATGAGCAGTGAACTGCCCAGAAAACAGCCTCGTAGGGAAAGGAAAGGCCGTGACCAGCTCAGTGATGGTTCTAGACAAGACGCAAAGGAATCCATCCTGTTGTTAAAGGTCTTTATGCTGAGAGTCCTGATTTCCCCCATGCTAGCTTTGCACAATACTTCAGCACTTATTTCCTGCAGCTTGCCCTCTCTTTTGAAGCTTGGATTATAACTTTCAAACCTGCTAGCATCTAAATTCCTATTAAATCAAGGTGCAGAATAAAAGTTAATCAGGACTGAGCATTAAAGAGGCTTTTTATTTCTTTTTCAATTCCCTCTTTTTAACTCTCAAGGTGCTTTTTAAAAATAATTGCCTCACGTTGTCAGGAAACCTGTCGTTAGGAGCACTTTAGTTTTCTTTAAGACCAACTTGGTTTGGGTGATAATTTTTGTACAAAACGGGCACTGGATCTTAGCTGAGAAACTTGATAAAACTAATTTATGAAGTAATCCCTCAAAGCTCCTATGGCATGAATTAAATTTAGGAATAAAGATAAACAACAAAGTTGAACTGAATTTCAGAAAAACACCTGCATGCTCTACATCACATGTAAATTTTCTGTGGGTTTCACAGGCATTCACACCTGTGACTGAACCGCAGTTCCTTTGAATGTTGATGTTAGGTTTTTCTTCTCTTGGAGAAAACAAAACAGCTGCTGTGCTTTATACAGTAATTTGTTCTAGAAGTAAATTTTGATTGAAGATTATTCATTAAAATTGTTTTTAAATGTAATCTTGCTGGTGATAACTTGGATGGAAAAAACCAGTTTTCTTCCACGTGATCCACGTGCTAGTTACACGTGATCGATCTGAGGGGCACAGGGTGAGCTGCAGGTTTGGTGTTGGGAAAGGTTTATAACCAAGAGAAGCTGTCACATTTCTGGGAGACATCAAAGAAAAAAATCACTTGGATCTGAGTAAAATCTATTCAACTTGGTTTCAGCTAGAGCTTCTTACAAAGTTTTATGCTCTTCATTTATCAGACTGCTTCTGAGCTCCCATAATGGGCCAGTTCCTGGCAGGCACTAGTGGGAGGGGGAGGATGGGACACAGGTGAGAAAGATCCTTCTGTGCTGCAGGTGTCTCCAGCCTCATGAGCCCATGGGCAAGTTGACAGGAATGCCACAGTGGGGGAGAGGTCATCAGAGCTGACTCATGAGAGCTTCCTACGTGCTGGTGGTGTCACTGCTAGCTTTGCCTCAAAACACTTTTAGCTAGAGTTAAATATGGTGCCAGTTTATGGCAGAGAAGCCTGAGTAGGATAAGTCGCTTGGTCACAGATACAAAACTGGATAGTGCCCAGACCAGCCTGGAACTCCTGGTCTTCAGGTGGGTAGTTTTGTGGTCTCTCGGAGGATACTCTTATGTTGGCCTTACAAAGTACTAGGGATGCCATATTGTAACTTTGGGAAAATTCGAATGGATACAGGCAAGTTTCAAAGGAAAGCTTATTTTAGAGTAATCTTTTCAAGAAGCTAAATTTTATTTGAAGAAAGGGACTTTATTTGATGTGCTATTTTTAATATACTATTTCAGTAGTTTTAACCTTTTAAAGTGAGGAAGGGGGAAGGGGTGAACTATCATTTGAACACTTAACTTTGTGGCAGGCACTATTCTGGGCCTTTGTAAACTCAGGGAAACCTTATGGTGTTCTCCTAATTTGCAGAATGAGAAACTAAGACTCAGCTCAAGTGACTTGGTCTCACACTGGCAAGCAGGCTGGACTTCTCTGTCTAGGCCTTGCTCCTACTTCAAGAGGGTTATAGGGCTTAAACAGTTTGTATTCCTTAGTTGTGTTCATCTGTTGGAACTTGAGTCACAAGTAATTTGTTAAAGTCCTGAAGTTAATGGATGGTTATCTTGTGTGTGTGTGTGTGTGTGTGTGTGTGTATGTATGCACACACGCACTCTTAGGCTCATGGTTAGTCCTATGTTAATCAACTTCTGTATTCTGTTTTTTTTGTTGTTTTTATTTTTTTATTGAGACAGATTCTCACTTTGTTGCCCAGGCTAGAGTGAGTGCCGAGGCGTCAGCCTAGCTCACAGCAACCTCAAACTCCTGGGCTCAAGCAATCCTACTGCCTCAGCCTCCCTAGTAGCTGGGACTACAGGCGTGCGCCACCATGCCCGGCTAATTTTTTCTATATATATTAGTTGGCTAACTAATTTCTTTCTATTTATAGTAGAGATGGGGTCTCGCTCTTGCTCAGGCTGGTTTTGAACTCCTGACCTCGAGCAATCTGCCTGCCTCGGCCTCCCAGAGTGCTAGGATTACAGGCGTGAGCCACCGTGCCCAGCCAACTTCTGTATTCTGATGAGCTTTCTTTAGTGGGAGGAAGGGGTGGAACATTGCACATAACCTTGGGTGGGCCACAGAAACGTGCTCTTCATAGAAGTCAACGTTATTTGTCACTCTGGAATGAAGCTGGACACTATCGATGTCCCCTCTCCTTCCTGTGCCTGTTTCCTTTTCCCCCCTTTCTCCCTGTTATTTAGGCACAGTGGCAACCTTCACATTTTGCTAGCCTGGGCATTATTAATTCCCTTTAGCTAAAGACCATTTAGGAGCACACAGTTGAACAAAGTTGGGTTTACTGATCCACTGAAAGGGAAATCACACACCATGAGGAGCCGTGGGTGTCTGAAGTGTTGGGTCTGAGAGGGTTTGGGTTCAAGGCAGTGGGGATTTGCTCTGGATTTGATGCTGTCAGAAAGCAGGTGTGATTCTATAACTGGATAACTTAATAATTACCCAGAAGGTAGGAAGAAGGGAGTGAGACCAAAGCTGGTGTTGGTAAAGAAGCAGCAGTTACTCATTAATGATGCTTGGTGATTTTTGTGACTTGGACGATGTTTATGTTTTGTATGTCATTATGGTCTTGTTTTTACCATCATGGTCACAGAATGGCCTTGTCTGAGGTTGATATTTTGTGAAATTGTTTGTGTTCAACAGGAGAACACCATGGACTAGCTGTGGGTGCCAGGCCAGCTTGTAGCAACACCAAGGCCTGAGTGACAGGCCAACTCCTGAAGTCAGGGGCAACATCTCTTTCTGAAGACGTGGCTGACCCCTGGATCCAGAAGGCCTGCGCATTCTACATGCACCTCTTCCACCCCCTCTAACTCACTGGCATTGAGCACTTGCTGTGTACTGGGCATTGGGGTGGGGGAGTCAGGTCCCAGATACCCTGTGATGTGGCTCCAGCCCTCAGACGTCATTGGTGCCATGGCAACCATTCCTTGTGACTTTCTTCTCAAATGCCTGCCTATGCTCACTTCCTGTCATACCTAGCAGCTGTCACAGCCAGATTTAGGATTGCATCAGCCTTCGCTCCACTAACCCAGTAATCAGATGAGGTTTTTTAAAACATGGGTTTAGTGCCTTTGCTTTTTTAGTAACTGAGTTGTATTGCAGGGCAGCACAACACTCCAGTACAGCCTAGCATTCAAATGTACCCAAGCTGGCCTCAGCAAATAAACATCTGTAATGGTGCTTTGAGAGAGATGGGGTGTGATGGTTAATGTGGGCAGTGGAGTACAGGACGATTCCAGAGAGAGAAGGAAACATCTTCTCTGGAAAGGCAGCCCCAGTGTCTGGACAGTGCATTATCCAGGCTGATGAATAAAATAAATTAAATTCATTTATTTTTCCCCATTCTGTTGTGTCGAATCACTGAGAGCCATCTCTGCTCAGTAACGAAGTGGGAAAGGAAGCAGATCTGTCTCAGGGAGCTGACGTCCTGGCTGTGTGAATCTCTGTCAGTCCAACCCAGTGGCAATAAGGTCTTTGTCTCCCTGATGACAGCGTTACATTTTCAGAGAGTTCCCAAGTTCAGGGAACCTGAGTTTCAAATAAGAGAGTGATGCTCATGCTCATTTTATTTCAGAAGCTGTTGTTAGGGGAGGGTGAGGCCAGTCTCCAGTCACCGATGGGTTCTGCAGGTTCAGAGCTGATAGCTGAGCTTAGTCCTTGGCCCTATTCCTCTGTGCCAATGATGCTGCCCCCTGTTTCTCTGTGAACCTGTGAGAAACAGGCACAAGGTGAGAGCTGCAGGGAGCTGGCTCCCAGAGCAGCACAGGTATGGGCAAGAACCGCACTGCCCAGTAGAAAGGTGAGTCACGTAATATAATTTTAAATGTTCTAGTCACCACACTAAAAAGGCTGAAAGAAACAGGTGAAATTAATTTTAATAAAACATTGAACCCAAAACATCTAAAATATTACTGTTTTAACACATAATTCGTATTTCACATTCTCTTTTTTTGTACTAGGTCTTCAAAACGCTATGTATATTCACTTCAGTACATGTCATCTTGGACCGGCCACATTCCAAGAGCTCAATAGCCACACATGGCGAGTAGCTGCAATATTGGACAGATCTAGCATTCAAGGGGAACTCTGGCATTGGCCTTGTTCTGTCTTATTTAAGCCTCCTCTGATTTCTTCGAGTAAGCCTGGAGTTCTCCTTTGGTCTTAAGACGTTTCCTAGAACCCACAGAGAGTTGAGTCAAAGAGTGAGCTACCAGGGGTCTATCAGTAGCCCCAGTTTGAGATCTCCATCTTCTCTTCAAGCAGGTGACCTTAAACTCCAGGAAAGAGAATGCTGTCCTTTCAGCTTCTAAGTTAAATGATTATTTTAGTTGGGATGTACTATTCTTTTTTCTGAGCAAGGTAAATATAATGAAGATAGTAACCTAAGTTTGAAATCCCATTCTTTCATTTCCTAGCTTTTGAGGAAGTAATTTCAGCTCGAAGCTTTAATTTCCTCATTGTAAGATGAGTATAATAATATTACCTCTTAGGGTTATTTGGAGGCTTAAATGAGCTAATTCTTACCAAGAGTTTTAGAATAATTACTGGCACATCAAGCACTTAATAAATATTAAATTACTATTAGACAGCCATGGGTTTGTATTTTGTAGGTTCCCTGGGATCAAGAACATTGGGATGTGCAAAGTGGCTTGCTGAAAATACTGGGGTTCATAAGAAGGGGAAACCATGGGCTGAGTCCTGGGGACATGGGGACTCACTGCTCCCTACTTTTGCATATATATGTTATTTTCCATAATAAAATTCTTCTTGAAATGGGCATGCTAAATTCTGTTCTAGAATTTACTGAAGGAAAAATTGTTACAGTAATTACATGTGCCCATGTGATGTGCCGTCTAGGTTTACTTGAGGTGTGTGTGTGTGTGTGTGTGTGTGTGTATGTGTGTATGTGTGTGTGTCTTCTGATTGGGGAAGTCAGGGAAAGCCTTATAGAGTAGGTGGTCATTTAGCTGACTCTTTTTTTAATTTTAAATTTTCAAAATTTAATATTGGCTTTATTGGGATATAACTCACGTACTGTATAATTCACTGATTTAAACTATATCATTTAGGGGATTTTAATATATTCACCATAGTGCAACCATCACCACAATCAATTTTAGAAACTTTTTATCACCCCAAAGAGAAACCTTATGTCCATTAAGTCATTTCATATTTTCATCCATTCCTTCCTTTCCCCAAGCCCTAGGCAACCATGAATTCACTTTCTGTATAGATTTGCCTCTCTTGGACATTTTGCATGGATAGAATCATACGACATATGGTCCCTTGTATCTTGCATAATGTTTTCTAGGTTCATCCATTTCTGTTGCAGAAATCAATATTTCATTCCTTTCTACTGTAGAATAATATTCTACTCTACAGGTATATGACATTTTGTTTACCCATTCATCAGTTGATGGCCATTTGGGCTGTTTCTACCTTTCTTTTTTTTGAGACAGAGCCTCACTTTGTTGCCCAGGCTAGAGTGAGTTCTGTGGCGTCAGCCTAGCTCACAGCAACCTCAATCTCCTGGGCTCAAGCAATCCTCCTGCCTCAGCCTCCCGAGTAGCTGGGACTACAGGCATGCGCCACCATGCCTGGCTAAGTTTTTGTATATATATTTTTAGTTGGTCAATTAATTTCTATTTTTAGTAGAGATGGGGTCTTGCTCAGGCTGATTTCGAACTGATCTTGAGCAATTTGCCTGCCTCGGCCTCCCAGAGTGCTAGGATTACAGGTAGCTCACACTATCACACCCGGCCTGTTAATACTTTTTTTTTTTCCATCAGAAAGGAGAAAAATGTTTCTACTTTTTGACTGTTACGGATAATGCTGCTATGAACATTCATGTACAAGTTTTTACGTGGACATATGTTTTCATTGTCTTTGTTGTTTTTCTGTTCCTTCTTTATTTTCCTTTGGTTTAAATAACTTTTTTTTTTATCATATCATTATAGTTTCTCTTCTTTTTCCTGTATATGCACACAATATGTATATACCCCCTGCCCCATATAATATATGTGTGACTTTCTTAGTGGTTCTCTCGTTGCTGAATTGTGAAGGAAGAGTAAGAGGCCACCGGGCAGGCAGTGGTGGGTGGGAAGAGTGATTTGGAGAGGAGCATCCATGCAGGGGGAGCAGCATGTGCCAAGACACGGGTCAGTGGAGACGTGGTGGGTACAGGTAACTTCGAGGATCTTTGGTGGCTGACAAGGGATGCTGGCTCTGAGGAAGTGTTGGGAGAAGAAAGGGGAAAGCAGGAGCCGTATAATGAAGAGCCCGTTCTCACCATCGCTAAGGACTCTGGACTTAACCTGGCGGGGGTGGGGGGTGTTTAGGCAGTAGAATGGCATGATCAGAGCCGTCACAGGCAGCGGGGAGGAGGTGAGATGAATGAGGCAGAGTCTAGGCCAGGGAAGTCGGTTACGAGTCTATAGAAATGGTTTAGGGAGGCTTCTCAGCTTGTTGTAGGTCTTTCTTTAAAGTTAGTGGAATGTTTTCTTCCCAGTGTGTGGGCACAGCATGTCTGGGTTGTGAGAGATGCTTCCACTGCGGGGAAACATTCTCTTGTGGGTATTTTTTCTGGGATATCATGGAGTATCACTAGCTAACTTGAAGGCAGGAACTGTGAAACCTCCTAAATCTAGTTAACTTTAAAGTGTTTCTATTAAAATGATTCATTGTTTAGGAAGTCCCACAAACACAATAAGAGATAAAGTGGAAGTAAGAAATATATTTCCTTTTTGGAAAGGGGACGTAATGATCAATATTTGTCGAGTAAGATCATTATATAAAAGGCAGATATGCAAATGCAGCTAGATAAAGGGCAGGTACTGAATTTAACAGATTTTTTTTTTCTTCCTCAGCATCTGAACCTCCCACTTGTATTTGGGGCATTGCTTACTGTAGAAACTTGCTGCAGGACATGTCCCTCTACTGAAGCTGAAATGTCCATTCACCGGCTCCCCGGCAGCCAGGGCGCAGATGTAGGCTTGGCCAATTGCCTATTCCTGTCCAGAGTTTGATTTTTAAGGAAATATCTCAGTTATCTATTGCAGTGTAACAAACCACCCCAAAGCTTAGTGGCTTACAACACCACCACCGTTCACTTGCTCACAGTCCTGTAAGCCAAGCAGGGCTTGGTGGAGATGGCTCATCTCTGTCGCATGTGGCTTTAGTGCTGTTGACTGAGGCTGGCCTGTCTGGGGGCTGCCCGAGCCTCTCTCTCTCCACCAGCCAGCTTGGGTTTCCTCACAGCATGACAGGCAGCTGGATTCTAAGAAAGAATGTTCTTGTAGAAGCTTCAAGGATTCCTGAGATATTATACAACGTTACTCCCACTCCTATTGCTCACAGCAAGGCAAAAAGTCAGTCTAGATTCAAGGGGGCAGAGTTAATGATGAGGGAAGGAGTTAATAGGATTTGCAAGTTGTCTGACATAGGGAATGACAAAGATGTGGGAAGTTAAACTAAGGTTCATTCGATTGATGGCATAAAGAAGCTAGAGGTTGGTGGCAGCAACAGCAGCATCAATAGTGGTATCTTTTCCAGACTGTTTTAGGGTAGGACCTTGGCCATATTTCCAGCTTACCAGGTTCCCTTGGTTTCATCTATTTTCTGAAAAAAATCCACATTGGAGGAGTTACATGATATCCTTTTAATAAATCCCCTTTCTGCTCAATTTAGCCAGAGCCAGCTTCTGTTGTTTACATCTAAGAACACTGACTGATGCTCTGGTCAATGACAGTGTCACTCAATCTGCACAGTAAAATAGACAAGGTAATTTACCAAAGAGGAAACGCAGATGGCTACTGAGCACCTGAAAAATGATCTGCCTCACTAACAATTAAAGCAAAACACTTCTAAATTAAAAGAATAACAGCCAGAAGCCTTTTTTTTTTGCCTAAATATTAGCAGATTAGTTAATGTAATGAGAGCTGCAAAGGGCATAATGAGCCAAGCTTTCTTAGGCTGCTAGTGGGATTTTAAATGGATCTAACCTTTTTTTCCTGGAAATTGTTTGCTATATGTACCAAGAATCTTAAAATGGGCCATTTCTTTTTTTTTAGTCACTTCCAGGAATCTAGTCTAAGCAAATGCTTAAAATGTGGATAGAAATTTATGCACAAAGATGTTTATATGCATGTTATATTTTAGCAAAAGTTGGAAACTTGAATGACACAAGACAATTGAGGTGTGATGTAATGAGATATTATGCAACCATTAAGACAGGTTTGTAAAGATATAGGAAAACTTTTATGGAATAATATCAACTGATACATTATTAAGTAATAAATTAAGCAAAAATTATACACATGAGATATATCA